GATTACCCAATAAAGTTATTTTCCATCCTGATTTTACAGAGATGATTTTTACCTTTTCTTTTTAATAAAATCCTTCTTTTAAGAACCTGACTGATTTTTCCATTGCCCAAAGACCCAAGGGGTTGGGTCTTTGCTCACTTTGTAACCAATTGGTTAGGATATTATTCCCAAGCCTCCCCAGGAAAAGGGGTGTAAGGGCTTGGGGGGATATTTTGGGGGACGAGGAACTCCAAGTGGTCCTTTCCCTGTTTCTTGTTAAATCACTTGGTGGTGGCAGTGTACCAGGTTTTAACCTAAGCCGGTAGAAATAAGCTTAGGGGGCTTTCATGCGGGTCCCCACATCTGTACCCTAGAGTTCAGAGTGGGGAAGGAACCCTGACAGCTTTGCAACAAGATTCTTGAATGAGCAGGTTAATTGTATATTGTCACTGATCCAGCAAGGAACTTGAAACTAGTCATTAAAGCTAATTCTGAGTAGACCTATTCAGTGGGGGAAAGTCTGACATTTCCATCAGCGAAGGGTGGCCCGAGCAAATTTGTTTCAGAGAAAATAAAATACTCACCATTACAAAACTCTCCAATGGTTGACCACTCTGAGTTTGAAAGGCAAACAACACGGTCTAACTTTCCAGGGATTTTAACAAAGTCATCAAGGCACCTGTATGTCACTTCTGTGCCGATAGGGAAGCCCTCTGTGCGACTAGTATCACGGGGGACGGCACGACTGAGCGTTGGCAGGGTCCCACACTGACCTATCAAAAAAACATAAGAACAGACTCTCATGTTAATAGGAGAGAGATTTATTTTAAAAAATCTCACACAGCCGCCTTCGCTGAAAAGGATCCTAACATGCCTTAGATGCTACAGGGACCTGCCACAGGCCAGGTGAGCCCCGTTCTGGGGGTTCCTCAGGTTTTCCAGTGGCCTATGAGAACAGACAAGCCTCCCACAACCAGGGCTTTAAACTAAAGGCGTCTTCACGGCTGTGCTAGGTCAAGTTCTATAAACAGGAATTAACCGAGCGACAGCGACCGCGCTGCACAATAACGGTGGAGGTGCAGAGAGCGATTGGATTAGCAGCACCGAGTAGCTGAGTCCCCACTGCATGACGAGCTCCAGCCTAAGCAACTCTCCAGCTCCCACCCACACTCCAAGTGGGCCAGCTAGTGACCAACTTGAGCTGGAGAGATTCATCCCTTAAACAAAAGCTTCTTTTGATCACCATGAATCCTGTGCTCAGAGCAAGAATGGGTATTTCTCCATCTTACAATCAGCAGTTTTAGTTGGCGGTTTTTTCAGGGGTGCCTGGGATTGTTTTCAGCACAGACACTGTAGAAAAAGGAATTTTGCAAAAGGAAAAATCGTCAGTTCACTCATCTGACTGTTCCGAGAATCATATAAACAGCCAGGCCACTCCCGGAAAGACATCAGATGCCACAAGATGACTAGAGTGACTTTTACAGTTTTAGTATCTGACAAAACAGGCTAAAAGAAAAGAGGCCCAATCCCAGAATTGCTCCTTCTTTCGCGTACAAATATGTCAAATCTCTGTCTCTAACACACAAGTGAAAGTACCACTGAACAACCTAGCTAAGACAAACAAAAAAATGCAACTAATATTACTCATTTCATTTTCCTTAATATTTCTGAGACTGCACAGTG